CTGATGGATATTTATTGTTACGCCAGAACACTAATGCTTTTCAATTGTCACGTAGTCATTTGGTTGTCAGGTTTTTCCGTTATAAATGTTAACAAAACACTATCGCTTTTGAGACGGTTTTTGTCATGCTACGCTTTAATTTACGCTTAGTGAAATTTCAAACTTGTTGTCTGTGTTTGCAAGAAAAGCGCATGATAGCAATTTGCTCGTTCTTTTTAGTTTTCAAAATATGTAGTTTCTTGATTACTTGTTCTGCATTTTAACAGGATGGCTTCGGAGTCTGTCCGGGGTGGTGCAGTCGCTGCAAATGGAGAAGGAAGAACCGAAACAGACGGACCTATCGGAGAAGATGAAGTAATGGAACAATAATATTTTGTTTTCTGTTTTAAATAGTAAAGATATGACAATATGACATTTCAATCTGTTAAATATCTGCACTCGGTATTTACTGATCAATAAAGGTTGAGAGATTTATTTTCGCTGTATAGAACTTCTCTTTTCTGCTTTCTTAGTTATTCACATTTTTTTTTTCTTTTTTTTTTTGGAAATTCGCAGTTCAATACATTGCAGGTGAAGGCTCTTATAAAGGAGCCAGAAGAAGAAACAAAGGATTTTTACTTTCAGCAGACAATGATTCGTATTAAAGACCCTAGAAAATCGCTTCCTTTTTATTGCAACGTACTCGGAATGAGGTGAGCATGTCACATAGTATCAATTTGCTTGGCAATGCCTTTTGGAAGTCTGTTCATTTGAAGCAGTATTTTTGAAAATTGTTAACGCTGTAGCAGTTTCGAGTTTATTACTTCTTTATCACTTTGTTTTTAGTAGAAATACTCCCAGTTCTATTTTATAAGTTAAAATTATTACGAGCCCTGGTTTTCTCATGCTCTCTGCTTTCTTAATTCGTGGTTTTAAGAAAAGAATTGCTAATTATTTAATTATTCGTAGTCTGTCTGAGCGGCTTTTTTTAAATGTGAGTAAGATGACATTAAAAAACTTACCGGTTCTTTGACGGACTTTCTTACTCATTTAAGTTCATTTTCATTTACTAGAGCATCGTGTCTCGTCTCAGTAACTGTATTTTATCATTTCATGCTACATTATTAGAGACCTGCAGTCTTGTGAAACACTCCCAATTTGGAGCTTTACACGTTTTTCAGAAATATTGTATTTTATTACGAAGGGAGTGATCAAAGCGCTTTGTTTTCATGCGTTGCACACGTAGTTATGCTTTAATCAGCTGTAAAACTTTTCTTCAAAAAAACTTCTTTTGACGTTTGGCCTTCTTTACACGTGTTGTTTTTCTGTTTATTTCTGACTTCAAGGAACTTCATTTTCTTTTTATTGTCAAGAAGTTAATTTTACTTTTTGGTGGAATAAAAAATGATATCAAGTGTTAAATATGCCAGACAATTGTTCATGACATTTTCACAAACTTCCCTTTTTTGTCTGAGTTTTGAGCGTTTCAGCATAAGGTTCCTGTAGTGTAAGTTTTGTTCTCTTGGTTTTTCTTACGTATTTCTAGAGA